TCAATTTTCTACCAGGTTTGAAAAGCATGCAATCTACGACAAAAAATTGACTTGTTGCCTGATTAAACTAACATATTGACGCATTGCCTGACAAATATGAGAGGTTCTGTAAGGTGCAGTTTAAATACACTAAGTTCAATGCTTTACAATAGTCAGCAAATGAGAGCACTTTAGTTACGTCAGTCAGGATGTCCGCCAAAATTCTCCTTCATCAGGAAAAAAAGAAAAAAGAAAAAGGAAAAAAAACAGGTGACTACCACCCCACCCTTGGAAAAGAAAAGAGCTCTGCAGAGAAGCCAAATGATATCAAAAAAAGAAAGTATAAATTATTCTTACCAGAGCATCAACAATCTCCTCAACTGTATCATGGCTGAAACATCTATCAATTGTTTCAATTCTGCATGATTCAATTGTCATCAGTAAATGAAAGAAATCACAAGAGATAGAAAAATATTCTCATAATCATTATCAAAACAGCAGAAATAAAATCCTCTTTGCAAAGATTTTTTTTTTTTTTTTAAATTATGATGTTTAGATGTATATCCCACCAAGCATAATTATGCGCCAAAACACAGAATTAACTACAACCAAATGACAAATTAGCACATGATGAACTGTTTGTGTAGTTCCCTAATGGAGATGGACATGGTAGGGAAAGGCGAGAGTTTGTTTGGTTGCACTTATTTGACATAGGCAATAGAAATTCCTAGGAAATTCTTGAATTCTTGTTGTTTGGTTAACATGAAATTTGCAAAATGGGGGGATTGGAACTTCCTAGGAATTCTGAGTTTCTACATATCGGATGTTAATTACCTAACCTCCCCTTGGTCATTCATAATTCACATGAAATGCAAATTCCCTCATGTCAACCAAACAAGTTTGGCAAATTCCTAGGAAATACATGAAGGGTGTTACTTCCTATAAACTGTAAATGGCCATGGGAATTTAATTCAAATGCAACCAAACAAGCACTGTCTGGCATGGTAAGGGCATCTCATTTCCTATCTAACACAATTTAATCTGGGACATTTATAACTGCTGCCTTACAATAGCTTATCCCTCTTCAGAACCAAGGTATCAAATTCATTCATCAGTAAACGCAACTCAGCAAAATATCCCTGTGCCCTTCCCTTCAGTTTCCCGCTCATAAGGTTAGATAGTAAACAATTTATAGAATCTTTGCTTACAATTTCCAGCACTAGCTAAGTATTAGTCAAAGTATCTGCTTAATTTCATAATCTTTGTATCAAAAGTGTGTCATTATCCAAATCAACCAGCAAAGGTTAAGTATGCTGTAAATTGAGGAACAGAATAGAAATAATGTTGGCACCAAAGTTCACAAGCTTGGTTCTAAAGTAATATGGAGCTGCACATGGCTAATTAAGAGTAGTCATATTGAGAAAGCAAAATAGAAGATTGGCATTACTTGTAAACAACGCTACTCTTATCTGGGTAGACAAGGTCACCATATTGAGCAAGCGAACTTTCTACCACAGATGGATCGTCTGTGAACAATTTAGAAAGGCGCTCTTCTATCAACGGAAGTCTCTGCCAGATTCATTTATTACAGAAGTATAATTAGAGTAAGCAAGTGCAAAATTTACTATCCGCATTCGTATTAATTAGCATATCAGAAATAACCAACCGCATTTAGGCAGTAATGAGTAGCAAGACCACAAGCAATCATATCAACACCATTTAGTTTATCTCCTGTCAGAGCCAGGTATTCACCTGCATCAAAGAAAGTAATCCATAGAATCAATACAAATGTGCTAAAGATTTTAAGTTATTAACTCCTACAGTAATAGATAATTGTACATTAGATACACTAGGCACAAAAACCTACCTAGATAACCAGGTAGACGAGAAAGGAAAAAAGAAGCCCCAGCATCAGGATGGAAACCCAGTTGTGTCTCTGGATGAGAAAATACCTGAAATTGTTGATTTCATGTTCAATATCACTGTCTGAATAAAAATGAGCATCACATAAATTGAGCAGAGTTTAAAAACTCACAGAGCCACTCAAGTTTTTAACCAAACGCCACTTGCAAAATGTTTCAAAGTAATGCTAAAATTGCTGATTACAATAACTTGTAACTGAACATGGAATGTCGCTCTTAGGCAGTAGAGGAGAAACAACATTTCTTGTATCTATTCTATTTGGCTAAAGGGAAGTTTAATAAGGAATGACATTTATTTTGATATGAAAAGTTTAAATCATGCTTCAGAGAAACTTCAGAATTCCAATACTCTAAAGGAATATAGAGGCAGAGTACATATATATAGACACATAATATGCACCTCTTGAAAGAAATGAGAACCAAATTAAAATTGTTTTGTTGTATGTTTGGTCCTATGCACTACATATCATTAAATGCACACATGATCAAAGAGGGGTCATGAAATCACACAATCACACCCCAGAAGATGATAAATATATTACACAAAGAGAAGTAATAGGACATCAGAAAGCTATATTTCCAAGAGTAAGGGACACACTGTTCTATCAGTTGCCACTCTGAACATTCCTAATAAAGATATACCAGCACCAGCTCCCATAGTGGTTCCATCCAAGATAGCCACCTACAGATTCAAGGAAACCCACTTAGACTGATATGGATGACAATAGGTAACAATGTTAGAAAGTATTCACTTCCGTTTTACATTCATAATCAGAATGTAATCAGCAAATGATCATAACATTCAACTTTAAAGACCACATAAGTCCAATGCAAATTATGCAGCATCACTTACATGAGGCTTAACATAAGTACCCATGAGGTATACAAATCTGTACAATGTATCGAAAAAGCTCTTACACTCTTCAACTTTCCCTGCACACAATAAAATAAAACAGGAAAAAGTAACAAACATTAACAGCAATATCTATGAATACAGTGTAGGATGCCATCCTCGAAGCTAAGCAAAGGTAATTAACTCTAACCCACCTTCATTAATCAGCTGATAGAGGCTAACAACATCGGCACCAGAACAAAATGCCTTCCCATTTCCCTTTCAATATTCAAAAACAAATTCAGCATTCCATACACCTTTTAATTAAAATGTCAAAACCAAAAGTTTTTATAAAAGGGCAAAACTTTCTAGCAAAATTTTAATTAGTTACCTTCATTATAATAAACCCAAGATCAGAGTTTTCTTCCCATGATTCATACAATCTCTTAAGCCTACCAGCCTATAATCAAAATATAGTTATACCAATTAACATAAACATTTGAAAGGTTCAATTAATTTAATAGAACCAGAAGTTACAGCAGCAGACCATAGAAGTTGAAATGGCATTGAGTGAAGAAGGTCTGTTGAGAATTGCTGCCCTTGAATTTGCTCTCCCTTCAACCAAAACCTATAATTTCAACAAAATGGGAAATTGGGTGTTGCTAAATTCCGTCTAATAATTAAAGATAAAAAAAAGTAAAAGCTAATTCAGAAAAAAGCAAGAAAATTTTCAAACAAAATGTGCAATTGGGAAATGCCTAAACTTGCCAAATAATCAAAGAACAAAGCTTGCCAACAAATAAAAAAAATTAAAATTTCAAACAAAATGGGGAATTGAGTATCGCTTAAACTCACAAAAATTCAAAGAAAAACCAAAAAAAATTGAAATTTCAAACATAATGTACAATTGGGAAATGCCTAAACTTGCCAAATAATCAAAGAACAACAAGAACAAAGATTGCCAACAAATAAAAAAAATTTAACATTTCAAATAAAAATTCGATGAACAACAAATAAAAATCGAAATTTGAAACAAAATGTGCAATTGGAAAATGCTAAAGCAAGTCAAATAATTAAAGAACAGCAAAAACAAATCAAACCCACAAAAATTAAAGAGAAATAGAATTAAAAACCTGATCTTCCACACGATCATATTGAGGTAAGTAATTAGGTTGAGCTATATAGGTTCTAAAAGGAGAGAGAAAACCAAGTTTATGAAGTGAATTTGTGGATTTTAAAACCCCTTTAAACCTCTGCATCTCTCTGTATTTGGAGGCTCGAAGATTTGTGAAATGTTGCGGCTTCTGTTGTTGGGTTTAGTTTAGTGGACTCTTCTCTCTCCTCTTTCCTTTCGCCTCAGTCAGCTATGAAAGAAGCCTAGAAACGAGACTGTGAATGATTTATTGGATCGCGGCGTTTTACTTTGGAGCTGGGTTAAACGCAGCGTTGAGGCTTGTTCATTTGTATTCCAATCTTGATCCTTTGAAGCCAATTCGGGTTAGCGGATCGAGTTTAGGTTTAAGTTTGGATTCACATTTGAAATGATTTAGTTATCAAGATCTTATTAAAAATTATTGAATAAAATTATTTGAAGTTTTGTAAAACTTGTGCAAAAGCTTAATGATACTCTTTAGATAGTCAAATTGGGTTGAATTTGTGTTCTGTTCAAATTAGGTTGAATTTGTGTTCTGCTCAAATTAGGTTATGATTATTTTTAGTACAATAAATTCATGTCGGGTTATCTAGTTGGGTTAAAAAGTGTGAGTTTAGTCACTTAAGTGTGGATTTGAATGTATGGCCAAAACAATATTTTTGTTTTGCATTGCAATAAGCATGTAACCGATGTTGGTATAAGCCTATAATACAAAATACTCCCTCCTTTCCTTCTTGTTATTCCAGTTCAAAATATTTTATTTAAAAAGAAAAAAAACTTGTGCATGATTATAAAAATTGGTAACAGTTATCTCATACAGTCATATTCCAACAAGTTAAATAATGTTGGTAAAAAATAATTTATAACATTACAATTTACAATCAGTAGTGTTTAGTTTCAATTAATGTAAAAGCTTCCAGTAAAAAAAAAAAAAAAAATAATAATAATAATGTAAAAGCTTTAAATTTCTTTGAAAAATTAAGTCAAGATTGTGAATCGAGTTCATATAATATTGTAAACTCCTTAGTTGACCGAATTATAGGATACCTAATCGATTGTCAATCTAGGATTTGAGACTTTGTTAGTAGAACAGGTACGAGTTATGGAGAAGTTGTGAAAAAGCTGGCTATCCAAACTCTGTAGACTCTTCAACTGCATACATTAATACATTATATGGATCTATTTATAAAAAGCATCAATAACAATTAACAAACTGAGGAAAGTGGTGAATGCTGCTTAGCTCTTATCCACTGTTTTACCACCTTTGCTGCCACTCTTCTAAACATAGGGAAGATCATTAATCTTATTGCTTTGGATGCTTCGACTTTTGTTGAGTCTGTTGGTAGAAAACTAGAGAATTGCAGAGCTCGTAGCAAATCTTCCATTCAGATGATGCAGCTGGCAAACAAGCAACTGAATTCTAATGACGGTCGAGTGCACAGAAAACGCCTATAAGTAGCGCTTGGCCAAGAAATGATCCTTGCCTAGGCCACTGAACAAGTTACCATTGTTGGCACTTGACTGAGAAGATTGAGATGCAGTGCAGTATGCTAGGAAGGCAGAACAGGTTTCCAAATATGGGGAGAGAAACAGCACTTGATTTTGTTTTACTGCCTCTACTTTCTGTCGAGGACAGGAGGTTGATTACAACGCATGCTAATACAAAACACAGCACATAACTCAGGTAATTCATGGAGTCCAACAACTCTGCATAACTGTGACTTCGGGTTGTGTTTCTTGTAGTGACTTGGGGTCAGGATTGAGGTTGAAAAGCTCCCTCTATCGTTCTTCCCACAATTATGATAAGTTTTGCAATTTCATGCTTGGTGCTTCTTCGGACTCCAACTGCATTTATGATGTGCATAGCTAATATATCAGCTACCGTAAAATATGAGAAACAGGCACATCATTTTGGGACAAAGGGAGTACAAATCACTCTACTTATACCAATTGATAAAATAATTTTAAAATACATCCATTGACAAGCAATGTTTTCATGCATTGAAGTTTGTCACATAACTACATTAAGTCACAAGTTACAAAAATCATGGTTAAACACTTTGAATTACGAGAAAATATAAATTGAGCTTCATAATAAACAACAATTGTTTAACTAGTAGCAATATTGTAAATAAGAGGACATGTTTTATGTTGTTGATGAGTAAACCTACTCCGTATGATATTACATTTTCATCCCCTAGATAAACACAAACTGTTAATCAAAATGATCAATGGGTGCTGGGCTGCTTTCTCTTGAATTGTTGGCTTTAAGACCATACATTTAAATATGCAAAGTACATTTGACACTAGAATATACTGGTAAATTTTACAATTATTTAGTACCTCAAGTACTATGGGAATATTACCTTTTATTTTCCCTCTGATAATCAAGAATTTGTTTTAAGAAGAAACAAGATGAGCTACGATAATCAAGTCAGAGTTTGTTTTAAAAATTAAGAAGGAACAAGATGAGCTAAGAACAAAAGGTTTGCCATTTAAAAATAAATAAAAAGAAAGAACAAGTTGAACAAAATTTCTCACATTTCAACACAGGGGATATGTTGGAGAAGGTGGCAATCTTGGCCATTCGGCATCTCATATCTTTTTTGGATAACTGGACAATTCCAGATACAAAGTTTCTGTAAAGAGGTAAGGCTTAGTACTGATTCTGTAAAGAGTTTCAGCTCACGAAGGAAGGAGAGGTTGCCCATTTCTTCTGGGAGTTTCTGTAAGTCTGGGGGACGAATGGTTAGACTCTAAAGCGTTGTTAGGGCAAGCAATACTTTGACAGAGCCCTTCTTCAAAACCATCACTGTCGATTACCAGTGTTTCAAGGACAGAGAGAGTTTCCGCTGATATGTTTTTCAACCTCTCGCACCAACAGCTTTTGCGACATTTGGCAGAGCGTGTTGTTACAATAACTCTACTCCCACTTGCACCGCATTCTAGTAACATAAGGAGATCCAACCAACTATTCCGATTTTCATCCCATATGTCATCTAAGACAAGAAGATCCTTGGATGCCTGATTTAATCTGACCAACCAGGAGTCTATCAGAATCCTTATCACCGGTGATGGATTGATAAACTCGCTTCATTACAGTACTTTGATCACCTACCTCAGGTACACAGACCCAATTAGTAAGATCAAAATGTTTCATAACAATCTCATCATTATAAATCAGCTGAGCAAGAGTGGTTTTTCCGAGTCCCCCAAACCCGACAATTGGAATCACAGTAATCCTTTTCCCATCATCAAATTTGGGATCAAAAATCATCTCAATAATATTGTTTTTATCATGTTCCCTACCAATGACATCTTCTACTTTCACAAAAGATCCTTTCTGCCTATTGCTTATCAAACGCTCCATTGGCAATGGCAGCCCAACAACAAGTTCAAGCCATCCATATTGGCCTTGATTTCATCCAGATCTTTCCTAATAGACTTGATCTCATGAGCCAATCTTCTATTGTTCTAAAAGGGACTAGACTTTGAGAATAAGACGCCTACCTTTTCCAGCGTGCTCCTCTCAACCCGCGGATTCTGGCGATCCAGAGTGAGGACATAATCAAACAAGTCATCAGCTCGGTACAGCACTTGCTTCAGCTTCCGAAGCCAGAGCCTGATCAGCTCACTATTGTCTCCTTCTTGGCGCCTCTCAGCATCACGAACTCGAGCCTGGATAAAGGTCATGGTATTCTCAAGCTTCTTCAGTTCATCTCGAGCACCCCACCAGGAAACAGCCTCTTTAAACGCAGATTTAGCCAAGGATTCCAAGGCTTTTGCAGCTAAATTGGAAATAACTCTGAAGAAAGTGCCAGACATTTACCATGTGCATGGAATAAAATAACAATATTTATCTAAGGTGTCGTTTGGTTCACAAGGGAATTAAAATTTCCCATGAAATGCAAATACATGGGAATTTAATTCCTATAATCAAATTCATGGGATTTTCCAAAAATTGTTTGGTTAACTATGAGGGAAGTTACTTCCCAAGGAAATTTCTACTTACCTAAGGGGTTAGGTAAATGAATTCCTACATTTTGTGGGAACTCAAAATTCCTAGGAAGTTCCACTTCCCCCATATCACCAAATTTTTGCCAACCAAACAACATACAAAATTTGTAATTCCTAGAAAGTTTCAATTTTCATGTTTTATTATGTCAACCAAACAAGCTCTAAGTATCTAACAAATTGACAAAACATCTGCATAAAAGATGGTGCTGAGCTACAGCAAACAAAGAGAAATTATGTACTTTTTAAACTTGAAAAATCAAGTTTTATCAAAATTATTTCACCCACCTTCACAGCATTGTGCCAACAAAGACCTTAAAATTTTAGGGCATGTTCTCATTGACTGAACTGAGCTGAAGTGAATAAAACTGAACTGAAATGAATATTTTATAATAGAATGAAATTAGGAGCTGAAATGAACTGAAAATAAATGTATAAGAACAGACCTTTAGTCATAATAATACGGTATCAAAATATCAATTATACTAGAATCGTTTGGTTGAATGTGGAAAATGCAAAGGTTAACCATGAGAAGTTCCACAAAAAGTTTCCATAGGCAATTAAATACCCTTATTTTGCGGGAAGTGGAAATTCTTGATTCTTGTGAATTTCTTACTTCATGTGAATTTGGTCAACTAAACTTTCAGAAAAAAACGACACTTAAAAGTCTTAAGTCCATCGTAATCTCTTATCCCTATCACTCGTACCAAACGCCCCCACAACAATGGCGGATCTAGGGGTATATAGAGTTACAAGTGTACTCTGTACCCCCATTTCGCGAAGAAAAAAAGAAAAAAAATTATACAAAAAGAGACCTCTTGTATCTAATAGGCGGTCTCTATTTTAAAACTGGTAAGGCGGACAAAGAGACCTATTGTTACAATAATAGGTTTCTTAGGTGATATTGTTTATTTTTCCAACTTTTACTTTTGATCAAAGAAATCTATTGTTACTATAAGAAATTGCTTAGACAATCTCTTTTTAAAATGTTATTTCGTTACTCAATTATAAGTCTTGTTGTCGCAAGATAGGGTGCATAGTACACGCAAATACTAATACAATAATTAAATGGTTTATTAACTCAAAGTTTACTTAAGAAAAAATTATTACGCTCCACATATTACTTTGTATTTTGTATCAAGAATAGGTGAACAAAGGTAAAATTTAATAGTACCAGAGTAATGTTCAGCTGCATTTTCTAACAAACGGGAAATTAAACCACGTACAATAATCCTTCGATTGAGCCTTCGTATATTCCCCCTTCAGTGTGTCTTCATTCACCATTTCTGACAGTCAACAGTGAAGACCTCGGCAAGAAAGTGATATGCCTCAGCCTCCCCATCCACTTCTTAAGCACATAACAAGTGAAATGATGTTGCAAAGAGAAGCTGAGGCATATCTCGTGAAGATTAATACAGTAATTTAATACATACAAAGGAAGGTCTATATAGTGTATACCATACACACCAAATGATAAACATGGGAAGCACTCACATCAGTAGGAAATAATCTACATTGTGAAATATCAAACAAGCTACAAAGTTCATACTGAAGAGACAATCAATCATATATACAGAGTACCTTATTAATTTTCCGGTGTTGTATTTCATCTACACTTATTTACAGATTCAAATGTTCTGTCACAAAAAGTTACAAGTATACATAACTCACAAGCAAAGACTTTGAGTTACTAGCTTAATATCTATGGACCATAAATTACAATCTCTCTGTAATATTTTACAGTTTGATTCAAGTCCTAGAGCCTTATATAGTTACATTTGATGAAGTATGTACCTCTGTGGCGCAGCAAGTTGTCTTGTTTGTGAATTTGCTATACAGCTAGAAAAGTGTTGGGAACCTTTAGTTGTTGAAGTCCGAATCTGTCCAGAGAAAACTTTGCATCAACCAGTTTATGGATTAGTACTTTGTATATTTTCCCATTTTTTTCGTCCAAAAACACTACTCCATTATAAGAACAAAATGCCTAACACGTGTGCTGACTAATAATCCATCCAATACAGTGTACAATAGTACAAGTATATTTATTCTCCTATATAGGCTATAGTAATTTTTTTGGGATACTTACTCCAGACAACTTGAAATTTTTTGAAAAAGATATAAATTACGGAGTATAATATTAATCTGATGGATCAAAAATCCATTCTTCATATTACATGTTTAATGCTTATAAGCTTTTAATTGCATAATATGCATTCTTGATTATAAAATTAAAAAGAAAGCAATTTCAACTAAATTTCTACAGTTATACGTAAATCACTAGATATTAAAATTCAACTCCTGACTTAAAAGGCCAACAGTTGAATATTCCATATATATATATATATATATATATATATATATATATATATATATATATATATATATATATATATATATATATATATATACTGTATTTCACATCACAATAAACACTCAATTAAAGCCATCATCACATGAAAAATAATACAGAGACTGTTTAGGGTTGAGAAACTCACAAGTGAACCTTGGGAATATGTTGGAGAAGGTGGCAATCTGGGCCATTCAGCTTCTTATATCTTTTTATCAGATCAGGACAATTGCAGATATCAAGTATCTGCAAAGAGGTAAGGTCTAGTAATGATTGTGGAAGTGATGCTAACTTTGGACAATTAGAAATCTTCAGCTCATGCAACAATGAGAGGTTTCCCATCTCTTCTGGAAGTTGAGTCAAGTTGTCAAAGAATCTAATTTCAAGTTTCTGAAGCGTGGTTAGCCAAGCAATACCTTGCGGGAGCTCTTCTTCCGGATCTTTACCACCAGAGATTTCGAGAATCTCAAGGACAGATAGATTTCCCACTGATATGTTTTTCAAGCTTTTGCAGCTTATAATTGTGAGATGCCGAACAGAACTTAAAGATTCTAATATCAAACTCTGCAGTTTCTTGAAATTGTTTATGCTTAATTTCTGTAGATCAGACAACCTACTACTGATTGTCAGAGAAGCTGGTCCATCATCAATCAATGAAATATACAGCTCTTTTAATGAGTTGAAAAGAGTGGATGATGATGATGATGGTGCTTCCTCATCAATTGACGTCAGATTCAATTCAAACACCTCCCAATTGATTTCTAGAGCACTTAATGACTCCAGCTTTGGTGCTAGAGGCAATGACATCAACTTGAAGCATTCATAAACTTTCAATTGCAAAAGACGAGGAAACAACAACTTCCATGGCTCACCAATATCATCATAATCCTTTGATGGTCCTGTCCATCCCTTTACTTCACATAAATCCTCCAATTGCAAAACCTCTAAGGATGGGAAGTAGACATTGCGGGTTCCAGAACCACCCTTTCCACCTCCACCTCCACCATCCACCAAGATGTCTTCATCTTCTAAATACTCCAAGGCACGAAGACCAATCAGAAAAAGATTTTTAAGATGAGGCAGCTGGCTCAAGTGAGGCAAAACTCTGATATTATAGCAACCATAAATTCTAATGGAAACAAGACTAGATAGCCCATCTAACCATCTACGTGGCATCTCAACTCCTTTGTAGGATAAAATTTCAAACTTTTTAAGATTTGGAGGCAATTGCAAGCACATTAACATTTTATCCATTTCACCTAAAGTAGGAGTAACTTCTGCTTCTTCCATAGAACCAAAATATAATTCAAGACACTCCAATTGCCGATTATCCTTCAAAGTTACCCTCTGTGCTTCCACAACAGCATTGCTTCGCCACATGCTAAAATCAATACGCAGAGATCCCATAAGATTTAAGGCTGGCAAAGAGTCTATACCATTGTTTTTCGTAACTATAAAATTATCCAACTCTTGCAAAGATGTCAATTTCCCAAAATCTGATGGCAAATCACTCAAACCACTCAGATGATGTGTCAAGTGCCTCAAGTTGGCCAATTTGCCAAAACCTCTTGGCAACTTATCCAGTAGGAAGCAACCACAGAGGTCCGTGTTTGCAGGTTCTCTAATCTTGTTACGTCATCTGGAATACTTCTGATACGATCATTCCATGCAAGGTTAAGGTATCTTAGATGTCTCAACTTCCCTACAGTATTAGGGACCACAAAGATCTTCATACCCATTAAGTTTAAGACGCGCAGACACTGAAATTTCAAAACCATCATTTCAAGAGATGATGCTTTTATAATACTCGTATTATTAATCCAATCGAAGCTAAATAGCCTCAAGGACCGCAACTTCCTAGCAGCAAGCAATGACACTGGAGCTTCCCATCCAGCATTTTCCAGCCATTCAACTTCAACACTCACATGCATAACTCCATCAGTAGTTATTAGGTTTGACGGCTCAACCAATAGCTTCATCTCTTCACCAGCTATATCTTGAGCCAAGTCATGCACTAAATCGTGCATTTCACAGAAAATAATGTTCCCTTCTTCACTAAATTCCGGATTATGAAATAAATTCCTTCCCAACAATTCCATATAGTATTGCTCTCCAATCTCTGAACTTGATGGATCAAAATATCCTTGCGCCATCCAAAATCTAACCAAATGATTCTTATAATAAGAATAGTCCTTGGGAAACAATGAACAGTAAGCAAAGCATTGCTTTAATGGCGGTGACAAGTAGTCATAACTCAACTTCAACACTTGCATGATGTTATTGTCTTCCTTCAACTTTGTCTTTGAGAGTCGAGCATTTCTGATTCGTTGCCACTCTTTCTCGCTATTTACAGAGTAGAGAAGGCCTCCAACAACCCTGATAGCAAGGGGAACATTTCCGCAGCTATCAACGATCTCCTTCGCAAATATAGTCAAAATAGGATTACTCTCTTCTTGTTTCAAGTTAAAGGAAAATTGTTTGAAAAGATTCCAAGACTCCTCTGTTGTCAGGAGTCCTAGATTGTGGGCTTCTGTTGTCCCAACAACTTTTGCAACATTAGCAGAGCGTGTTGTAACAATTACTCTACTTCCACTTGCACCACATCCTAGCAAATTAAGGAGATCCAACCAACTATCCCGACTTTCATCCCATATGTCATCTAAGACAAGAAGATACTTCTTATCTTTGATAGATTTTTGGATGCCTGATTTAATCTGACCAACTAAGAGTCTATCAGAATCCTTATCACCAGTGAAGGATTGGTAAACTCGCCTCATTATAGTATTTTGATCACCTACCTCAGGCACACAGACCCATTCAGTAAGATGAAAATGTTTCCTAATAATCTCATCATTAAAAATCAGTTGAGCAAGAGTTGTTTTTCCGAGACCCCCAAACCCCACAATTGGAATCACAGTAATCCTTTTCCCATCATCAAATTTGGGATCAAAAAGCATCCCAATTATAATGTTTTTATCATTTTCTCTTCCTATGACATCTTCTACTTTCACAAAAGATGCTGTTTGTCTATTGCTTATTAAACGCTCCATTGGCAATGGCAGTCCTGCTACAAGGTTAGCACTCAAGTTCAAGCCATCCATATCTGACTTGATGGCATCAAGTTCTTTCCTTATAGACTTGATCTCATGAGCCAATTTTCTATTATTGAAAAAGGGGCCAGACTTTGAGAATAGGATGCTTACCTTTGCCAGCGTGCTCCTCTCAACCCGCATATTCTGGCGGTCAAGAGTAAGGACGTGATCAAACAAATCATCAGCTCGGTACAGCACTTGCTTCAGCTTCCGAAGCCAGAGCTTGATCAGCTCACTATTCTCTCCTTCTTGGCGCCTCTCAGCATCACAAACTCGAGCCTGGATAAAAGTCATGGTATTTTCAAGCTTCTTTAGATCATCTCGAGCACCCCACCAAGAAACAACCTCTTTAAAGGCAGGTTTACCCAAGGAAACCAAGGATTTTGCAACTAAATCGGAAATAATTCCTTCTGCCATTTTCGTATTATTGGTGTTTCACTCTCTTTTTCTCTCCCTTTGTAACTTTTTGTGAATGATGGATGTATTCTGGACTTGGGTTTGTTGTATAAACTCTATGTGAGTGCTCACTGGTGACAGTAGGTGAAACCAACACTCAATCTCTCTTTTTCTAAATACAATTGTTTAGTTAATGAAGTTTTTAAACATATTAATCATAATTTAATGGTTTAGTCTTCACAAAGGTAACTGTGAAGAAAGTGCCAGACATTTACCATTTTCATGGGAATAATAAACAATATTCTCTAACAAATTGACAAAACATCTGCATACAAAAATTTTGAAGATTCAAGATTTATCAAAATTAAATAACCAAAGACTTTTAATGGTATAATACTACTTGTATTATCCCTAACCAATTCACAATCATTATTCATTATCCATCGTAATCTCTTATCCCTATCACTCGTACCAACTACCAAACGCCCCGCAACACAATAACATGTTATGAGTAATAGTGTAATACATACAAAAACCAAGAATAGGAGGACAAATGTAAAAGATGATAGTACCAAAGCTATGTTGAGCTGCAGTTTCCAACAAAGGGCAACTTGAACCACGTACAATTATCCTTCAATTGAGCCCTCTCACATTTCCTCTTCAATTTTGAATTTTAAGGTGCCACAAAAAATCTCGTAAAACATTCCTTTACTACAATTAAAAGCTGAAAAACATTGCCTAAAGTGGGTAAGCTTGCAATTAGCATCAATGAAAAGCTCCATGAATCACTTGCTCAGGTCAACGTCAACCCAATTAAAACCCTAATATTTTTTCTGGGATACCACTAATTTAGTCCTAACGTAATTGTGGAAACAATTTGGACTAAACACCTAATTAAAATTTGAATTTGAGTTTGAATTATTTAGATGAATCTGGGAACAAATTTCTGAATTCAGTTTTGAAGTTTTGGGGAAGAACAACAGAGAAAGGAGGGAAATTGGGGGAAGTTGGTTGATTCGGTTTTTTTTTTTTTTTGGTTCCCACCCGGTTCACTTTGGATTAATTCGGGTTCAAGCTTAGTTCTGGGTGGTTAATCCCTCCCCTTCCACCGGGACTTGTTATTCATCGCCCGCAAATCTCTACATAAAGCCCACATTTTATAATTTTTTGACAAATTTGCCCTTTTTATAATTTTAACCGAAGATAAATTTTTCGCACTAAAAAAATGTGGAGCAGCACCGGATCGCCGAGGATCACCGGAGAATCGCCATCGTCATCGGAAAACGAGGTTCGTAACGCATCGTAAGGACGAAATGGTGGCTGGCGCCTAGCCAAAAGGCCATGCCGTGGTTGTGGCGCCTAGCCAGGACGCCGCCACCGTGGTAACGGCGCCTGGTGGAGAAGCCTCGACCATGGTAGTGGCGCGTGGCCAGGTCGCCGGAGCCACGGCCAGGGCGCCTGGCCAGGACGCCGCCACCATGGCGGCGGCGTCCTGACCAGGCGCCCCGGCCAGGACGCCGCCACCATGGCGGCGGCGTCCTGACTAGGCGCCCCGGCCGTGGCTTCGGCGTCCTGACCAGGCGCCCAGGCCGTGGCTCCGGCGTCCTGGCCAGGCGCCACTAGGGGAATATTTTTTTTTTTTTTTTTGGTTGGTTTTGTTTTGTTTTTGTTTTTTTTTTTGATTTGTTTTGTTTTTTTTGTTTATTTGTTTTGATTTTTTTTTGCTTGTGGTGTTTTATTTTGTTTTGTTTTTTTTTTTTTGGAATTTTTTTGTTTTTGTTTGCTTGTGTTGTTTTATTTCCTTTTAATTTTTTTTGGAGGGAATTAATTTTTTTTTTTAATTAAGTTTTTTTAATGCATCTTTTATTTTGTGTTTGTTTTTGTTTTATTTTGTTTTATTTTGTTTTGTATTTGTTTATTTTTTTTTATTATGGTTTTTTTTGTTTGTTTATTTATGTTTGATAAATTTGAAATGAAATGTGTGTTATTATTTTGTTTTTTAAATGTATTATGCGTTAAATATAAAAATGATATTTAGAAATTTAAAATTTAGAAATTGCGTTTGTGATAATTTTGTGTTAAGTGTATTAATTTAATCTTAATGTAATTATATTTATACGTTATATGTTATTGTTACAGGATTATGGTGGAGACGGAAATGATTACAGTGGGATTTTTGTACATGATGGCCTGTTCGAAGATGCTCAACAAGCGATTGATTGGGCAAAACAGGTTGCAATTAGATCAGGCTTTTGTTTAGTAGTAGCAACTCATAAATCTCAACGGGATGGTAGAATGGATCGCATTTTGAGATGCGACCGTTATCGCAAAAGAGAAGAACGAGATTTCAGTAAAGCGATTCGGTTTGACTCAAAGCGGAAAGGTTGTGGGTGTCAGTTCCGAGTTAAGGTTCGACAACATCAAAGGCGTGACGGTTGGGAAGTGAAGGGTTACGGCAAATGGGGATATCACAACCATGAGCTGATAGCATACAAAGTGGGGCATCGGCAGTTAAGCGGCCTAAGTCCAGCTGCGAAACTAGTTGTAAAAGAAATGAGTGATGCTCAAGTGAAGCCCGCTAAAATATTAGCGTCTGTGTTAGAGAAATTCCCCGAAGACCAGCCAAACCGAAGACACATCTACAACGTCAGACAGAAATTGAGGTTTGAACGGTCAGAGGGAAGGAACCCTATACAGCAGCTTCTGCACCAGGCACAAGCACGTGGTTACCTTTACTGGTTTGAATCTGACGAAGACACATCGGAGGTAACTCATTTGTTCCTTGTCCATCCTGATTGTGCTGATATGATTTCGTCTTGGCCATCTGTGATTTTGATCGATTCAACGTACAAGACAAACAAGTACAAGTTCCCACTGGTTGAGATGGTTGGGATGGCTCCAACGAACCAAAACTTTCTGATTGGTTATGCAGTCATGAAGGATGAGACGGCTGCGAGTTACCGTTGGGTGTTGGAAAAGTTGAGAAACTACATCGGCCCAAATGTACAGCCATCGGCCATCATAAGTGATTGTGAGGGAGGTCTTTTTGCCCCTATAGCGGAGCTGTTTCCGGAGTCGAACCATTTACTGTGCACATGGCACATCAACAACTGCGTGAAAGTCAAAGCCTACAATCTTTTCAACAAGAATTTAGTAACAGCAGAGACATTGGTAAATGGTAAGTGGCGGAAGATCATGCAAGCTACCACAGAGGCAGAGTACGATCGAGCCTTGGAAAACTTCTACAAGTGTGCAGTCATGCATTTCGGCCTTGGTTTACATAGTCGAGCCTATTATCCATGTACAACGGTTCTGCCCTGGTGTTCGCGCGAGACCGTCACCAGACCGGTAAGGGACGTTGCTATTGGATTTCTTGGGCCGTCATACAGACATTTTATCCGATTAGACATGTCACCCGATTTTCCGGTCCCACATATCATACCGAAGTGGTATGAAATTCGTAGAGCAAGCGTGGAGGGTTGGGATGCTTTGTACCATGCTCGCGTGCAACAGTGGAACAATTTAATTGCCATGTAGTTTTTGTTGATGTACACCTACCTTTTACTATGAGGCCTTGTATTGTCAATACTATGTCATTTCTATGTGTTCATTTTTAAAAGATAATGTTTCATTTTAAAAACTAACAACAATAATTTCACAATATTACAAACTAAAAAGATAATATTGAATTTTAAAAACTAAGAACAATAATTTCAAATATTACAAACTAAAAAGATAATGTCTAATTTCAAATATCAGTAATCCCTCTGTGACGCCCACTGCCACTGCTCAAGGGTCCGTTCCAGATCGTCAATAACAGCTCTGCCTGATGCACTCGTCATGCAGTCCCTTTCCTCAAAAAGTCGGTGTCCCAACTGCATAATCTTGCCCATCCACTACACAAAACAAAAAACATGAAACGACGTATTATAAATATATATATTAAAATAAGAGAACAACAAATAAAAGATGAGACGTACCGCATAAGAGGCAGTGGCAGGTGGCACATCGTCATCATCTGCGTCGTCGATGTCTTTGATCAACCTCGGGTGCGAGTGCCGGATGTACCATTCCATGTAGTGCTGGTCACACATGGCAGTCACCCCACTTGGCGGCCGCTGCAGCTCCGCCGTCCATAGGCGGGCAACCATCGGAAACTGCTCCCACATGGATATCATGTTTGCCGGCCATTGGACGACGTACTCCTTCGACGACGCAGATCGTACCGCCTTACTGGGCCATGCCGGTGGAGGTGGGACAACTTGGACAAATCCAAGCTGGCGAAGACAGCGCTGCGGCATGTACGCCTCTACGATCTCGCGATACTGAATCAGTCCGGTGTAGAGGGTCCTGGGTACCCTATTACTAGGGTTCTGGCCGAAAGGCATCCAGTTCACCTGCACATTATTTAAAATCAGTAACAGTCATAAAATAAAGCATCAGATTGTAAAAGTAGAAATAATTTAATCACTGTACCTCTAAGGGGGACTCCCGTCTATAGGTCCCCCGGCCACCTCACCCCTCACCATCCAATAATCATTAACGGCCCTCGACCGTTTTCTGCTACCCGCAGACACAGTGGACGCAGATGATGTGCCAGATCTACTAACAAACCTACCATCTCGACCCTTACGCACATCTACCCTATGCGTCTCATACGTATCATCAAGCCTCTGACTGAATGGACCGTAATCATCATATGGTCCACTCTGATCGTCGACATCCTCATCTGCATCATCCTCGTCCTCGACCTCCTCCTCCTCGACCTCCTCCTTCTCCTCCTCATCATCATCATCATCATCTTGATCGTCCGCAGAACAGTGCACCCGTTCTCTGCGGGCCGAGGCCGAAATACCACGGGATCTAACGTGTCTGGGCCCCGAGCTCTCCATTGAGTAGATCGTACTCCTCACGACGTCAATACTCTTCCCCGCACCAGGTCCAAATTGCGATGCCTAACTCCAAGTAAATAACGAAACATAATAACGAAAACAAATTAAAAAAAGTCGAAAATAAACACAAAAGCAAATAAACAAGTCACGGAAATAAAATTATAAACATAAAAAATATAAATATATACAAGACAATATACATATAAACATAAGAAATATAAACATAAACATATACCAAAAACAAAAAATATAAACTACAAACAAAAAAAAAACAAACATAAACAAAAACAAAAACAAAAAATATTACCAAAAACAAAAAATATAAATACAAAAAAGGACGAAAATAAACACAAAAGCAAATAAACAAGTAACGGAAATAAAATTATAAACATAAAAAATAAAAATATAAACAACACAATATAAATAAAAACATAAAAAATATAAATATAAACATAAAAAAATATAAATATGAACAAAACAATATACCAAAAACAAAATATATAACCAAAAACAAAAAATATAAACAACAAACTAAAAAATGAAAAACAAAAACAAAAACAAAAAATCAAAAATGCAAAGAAAAAACCAAAAACAAAAAACTAACAAAACTTAAAAAATTTAAAATTGCAAAAACTTAAAAAAAGAAGAACATCAAAATTTTAAAGAAAATTTATAAAAAAAAAAAGGGAACTTATAATTTTTTTACATACAAAAATATAATTCAAAAAAAAAAAAAAATACATAGGAACATAAAATTAAAAATTAAAACCAGAAACAATTTTTTTTTTAAAAAAAAAAAATAGAACATAAAATTAAAACAAATAAAAAAACAAAATTTAAAAAAAAAAAGATAAAAAAAAAAAAGGAACATACAATTTAAAAAAAAGAAAAACAAATTTTTAAAAAAAAAAAAAAAAAAATTCGAAAATAAAATTTAAAATTAAAAAAAAACAAAAAAAAATTTAAAAAAAAAAAAAGAGAAGGAGGCGCCTAGGCAAGACGCCCGTACGGTGGTGGCGGCGCCTAGCCCAGACGCCACTACCACGGCCGTGGCGCCTAGCCTATGCGCCGCCGCCGTGGTAGTGGCGTCTGGGCTAGGCGCCCCCACCACCGTATGGGCGTCTTGCCTAGGCGCTTCCTCCGTGGTGGTGGCGTCTCGCCTTGGCGCCCCACCGTCGCCGGAGGTTTTTTTTTTAAAAAAAAAATTACAAAAATTTAAAAAATTACCTTCTGGCCGGCAAACCGCCTTCCGCCCACCGCCGGTGCCGCCACTTCCTTGCCGGGCCGCCTCGACATAGCTCTGGAAATAATTTAGAGAGAGAAAGTGGAAGTAGAGAGTAGAGAGAGAAATTGTGTTTTTTAGTTTGAGGGCAAAAGTGTCATTTCACTCTTATTTTGTGGGCTTTATGTAGGAATTTGCGGGCGATGTTTAACAGTTCACCTTCCAAATTCCAATTATACTTGTGTGGGGGATTGAACACGCGGTATTTTATGTAATTGTGAGTTTGTGACACTATTATCTAAGAACTATATTGCGAAGTATTTGTTTGTGTACTACGGAGTAACTATTTTTTTTTTAATTAAGGTAATGAAAATTCTCTTGCAAGTAGAGTGGAAATTAAGAATCTCACTTGTTAGTTTGGGGTAAGAGTTAAACCCTCTCATTGATAAATAATACTCCGTAGGTATGTTGATGCAAATGCGCATTCGTGCAGATGACATACGATATAGCTTCAGGTAAGAGTGTAAGACTAAAATTTTTCATTATGAATCATTGTATCTTATGTTTCATTATGGGACAGAGTAGCTTATTAAATTATACTCCATAATATACTTCGTATTAATCGTTGTACCCTAGTAAAAACGCAATTTAAACTATGGCCTTACATCATTTTCAAGCTAGATATAACAAATCACAATTATCATTCTGAAAGTCTATACGGCAGAGTATTAATTAAACTATAGTTAAAATATGATTTGATATTTCGATGTTGCATATCTATTAAAACATAAAGAACAGTTAGTGCAAAAATTATGTCATGACAGCCATTATCATATATGCCACATTTAGAGAGGCTTTAATCGCCAAGCCAGTTCTTTAGAGAGAAATAGTTTATTGCTCTATGGATTATACACACTTATAACAACTGATTCAATATCAAAAGTTTAAAAATCCACACATCCAAAACCCATGCAAATATTAATATATGAAGTCATGTCACTAAAATCAGAAGCTAGTCACTTGACTTATGTTTGTACATACAGCAAAGTGTGATTGGATTAAACACTTTGACATACTGGCTTTGGTTCATATAATAGATTATACAGAGCAAATTTGACACGACCACATATATCGTCTGAATTGAAGCTACATGTGGCTCGAACAAACTGACCACATACACCATGACAACCCCAACACTAGCCTGTGATTAGCATCACTGTGTAAGCTTTCCCCACCTTCTAGGAAGGGTTGAAAAGTTCCACCAATCATTTGCTCATCAGGCCAGTAACAAACAGGGGCCTCAATTTCATTTCACTTGTTTCGAGCTTGGTGTATTTGCCGTTGCATGCATCAATGATGCACATAGCCTGACATCTCTAAAGAGCATTTAAAGTCACCATCTTCACTTCAGTACCTAGCTACAGGCTACAGCATTCCTGCACTGGTAACTCAGAAAATTACTCAATAAACTTCAGCTAATAAAAGGCAGTAGGCGATTCATGTCTGAAATTTTAAAACTAAAAGCTTGCAGGATCACCTGAGTGAAGATATTATGGATTACTTTTCCTCTGATTTGATAGCATTGAGACTATTTTACAATAGAAACTTGTTGTAATAATCAGCATATGGGAAGAGCTGCAATAAACATAACAGTTAATGATTAATTTTAGGAGACAAATCTACATGAAAAGCCAATTGACAAAATGAGGATGCTTACAGCAGAATGAGTTGTCTGTCATGGAGCTATTGTCACAGCATTCACCAATTGTACTTTGGTAATTCATCAGATTAATAAATGAGCCTGATTTGGTTCTCTCAATAGGCTACCACCAGTGGCGGATCTAGATATTTCAAAATGGGGGTGCAAAAAATTTTAAACTTTATAGCGCAAAAAAAGTCACCAGGGGCCTCAATTTCATTTCACTTGTTTCGAGCTTTGTGTATTTTCCATTGCATGCATCAATGATGCACATAGCCTGACATCTCTAAAGAGAACTTAAAGTCACCATCTTCACTTCAGTACCTACAGGCTACAGCATTCCTGCACTAGTAACTCAGAAAATTACTCAATAAACTTCAGCTAATAAAAGGCAGTAGGCGATTCATGTCTGAAAATTTAGAACTAAAAGCTTGCAGGATCACCTGAGTGAAGAGAGCATTGACTATATTTCCTCTTATTTGAGAGTATTGAGACTATTTTACAAGTAGAAACTTATTGTAATCAGCATATGGGAAGAGCTGCAATAAGCAATAGTAGCAGTTAATGATTAATAATTTCAAGAGACAAATCTACATGAAAAGCCAAACGACATAATGATTAGGGAATACAATAATGATAATTCCTGCTTGAAAGAACCTGGGAAGGCTGGGATGCTTACAGCAGAATGAAATTGTCTGTCATGGAACCATTGTCACAGCATTCACCAATTGTACTGTGGTAATTCATCAGACCAAAAAAGCAGCCTTGATTTGGTTATCTCAATTAGCCACTAACTGTCCAATTGCGAAGATATGATTAGAAATTGTTGATCCTTATAAAAGAACCTAATTCTTATAACTAACACAAACAACAAACCAGGTAAATTATTTTCATGCAGACCTATCCAAAGCCCATGCATCACACAAACTGGACCAAGTAATTGTCAGTCTCTGTCAATAATCATGTGTTAAGTCCAGTATCTTCAATAGTTCAATTATCTTTAATTCGATAAGCAATAATAGTTATCTCATATTGCTCCTTATTATCTGGTGAGCACAACAGTAATTGTCTTGTGCGCTTATATCTTGATATTAGTGATTGAAATAACACAAACACTTCTCGTTTCATGTTTATGTGATGCATGAGTTTTAGATTTATAGTCATTGGCTTATTTTTTATCACTAATTTAATTATCAAAAAAAAAATTATAAAATATTGATTGTATAAAAGTGTAAAATGAGGCGAATCTAATAAGATATCACATGACAGTATTTAACTTTCATTAACTATAAATAATATTCCGTAAAAGCTAGCCAAAATAGAGTATGTGAATAGTACACAAAGTCAAGGAAAGATGGAAAAGATTAGATAGGAGTTAGGCACAATTTATCTCTAAGATAAAATAAAATTGTTTATCACATGGTATATTCGTAAAAAATCAACAAGTTTATCTAATCACCATCAACTGTGGAGCCCGTATTTAATAAAAAAAGTTATTGATTTATTTACAAAAATGTCATGTAATAAACACAGTTTATTTATCACTAACTAATATAAACTTATATATTCGATAAATTTTATACTTAATCCATTAAATAGATATAATAATAACCAAAGACAAATATGACTGATATGAGTAATAAATAAAATACGAGTAATACAAAGACAGAATGTAGGAGTGGGGGACTAAGAAACTCACAATAAACATCGGGAATATGTTGGAGAAGGTGGCAATCTTGGCCATTGGGCTTCTCATATCTCTTTTTCAGATCTGGACAGCCCAATATGTAAAGCTTCTGTAAGGAGGTAAGGCCTAGTAATGATTGTGGAAGTGATGCCATTTTCGGACAATTAATAATCCATAGCTCACAAAGCAAGGAGAGGTTGCCCATCTCATCCGGGAGTTGTGTCAACTTATCGTAATTTTGAATTCGAAGTTTCTGAAGCGTGGTTAGGCAAGCAATGCTTTGAAAGATCTCTTCTTCAAAATCATCACCCACGATAAAATCATCGCCCCAGATTTCCAGTGTGTCAAGGACGGAGTGTTTTCCCACTGAAATGTTTTTCATCCTTTTGCACCCTTGAATTTTGAAATCTCGAATGGAATTTGAAGATTCTATCATCAAACTCGTCAGTTCGTCGCATCGGCGAATTTTTATACTCTGTAGATTAGAGAACCTACTACTGATTGACAGAGAAGCTGGTCCATCTTCAATCAAAGAAATATCCAACTCCTTTAATGAGGTGAAAAGAGTTGTTGACGATGAAGAAGCTGGTTCCTCATCATCAATTGACGTGGAAATGATTCTTTGAGCCTCTATTGACATGAAGTTGGGGCAGAAATGTGATGTCAGTTGCATAAGACAAGGAAACAACAACTGCCTTGATGATGGTGGTGAAGCTGCTTCCTCATCATCAACTAACGTTAAATTGGATTCAAACACTCTCCAATTGATAGCTACAGCTTCTAATGACTCCAGCTTTGGTGCTAGAGGCATTGAAATCAACTTGGGGGAGTTACCTACTTTCAATTTCAAAAGACGAGGAAACATTAACTGCCTTGGTTCACCACCATCATCCTTTGATGGTCTTGTCCACCCCTTTAGAGACCATAAACTCCATAATTGCAAGAACTCCAAGGATGGGAAGTAGACATTGTGGGCTCCAGAACCACATTTTCCACCATCCGCCAAATTGTCGTTTTCATCTTCTACATACTCCAAGCCTTCAATTGCGTTAAGACAAAGTACTTTGAGATGAGGCAACTTACTCAAGTGAGGGAGAGCTGTGCACTTACTGCAGGACAGAATAACAATGGAAACAAGCTTAGAAAGCCCATCAAACCATGTACGTGGCATCTCAACTCCTTGGTAACCTAATACTTCGATAATTTTAAGATTTGGAGGCAGCTGCAAGAACGTTAACATTCTATCCATTTCACCTAAATCAGGAGTTACATCCATGAATAAAAACATTAAATTAAGACTTGTCAATTGTTGATAGTCTTTCAAATTTGCCCTTTGTGCTCCCACAACAGCATCAATTCGCCACTTGTTAAATTTAATATTTAGATATCCAGTAAAATTCAAGGAAGGTAGTGAATCTATACCATAGTTTTCCCCAACTATAAATGAATCTAACACTTTCAGAGATGTCATTTTCCCAATTCCTGCCGGCAAATCACTCAAATCACTCCCAGAGATTCCCAAGTGCCTCAAGCTGTCCAATTTACAAAAATCTCTAGGCAACCCTCTAAGATTTAGGCACCCACAAGGTTAAGTGTTTGCAAGTTCTGTAATCTTGTTATGTCGTTAGGAAGACATTCAATATCAAAATTTCTTGCAAGATTAAGGTACCTTAGATGTTTCAACTTCCCTATAGAATTTGGGACAACGGAAATATTCATACGCTTCAAGTCTAAGACACGCAAAGATTGAAATTTCAAAATCACCATTTCAAGAGATGATGGTTGAGCATTATAATAATCTCTAGATACTATCAGTGACCGCATCTTCGTAGCAGCAAGCAATGGCTGGGGAGCTTCCCATAATTCACCATCCTCTATGTTTCTCAATTCAATACTCACATGCACAAGTCCATCAGCAGAAGATATTTGATCTAAAGGCTCGACCAATTGTTTCATCTCTTCACCAGCAATAATTTGAGCCAAGTCATGCACTAAATCGTGCATTTTGCAGTATTCGTCACCCTCACTTTCATCTTCTCGGTGATCTTGAAATAAATTCCTCCCTATCATTTCCATAAAGTATTCTTCTCCGGTGTCTGTACTTGATGGATCAATATATCCTAGTGCCATCCACATTTTAACCAAATGATTCTTACTATATTCATGGTCCTTTGGGAACAATGAACAATAAGCAAAGCATTGCTTCAATTCTGGTGGCAAGTAATCATAGCTTAACTTCAACTCTTCCATGACGCTATCACCTCCCTTCCCCTTTTCCTTAGAGAGTTGATGAGTCTTTCTAATTCGTTGCCAATGTTTCTCATTATTTTCAGAGTAGAGAAAACTTCCAACAACCCTTATAGCAAGGGGAACATTTCCACAACTATTTACGATCTCCTTCCCAATCTGAACCAAATTAGGATTTCTCTCCTCTTTCTCTGATACAAACGCAATTTTTTTAAAAAGATTCCAAGACTCCACTTCTGTTAGAAGTCCTAGATTGTGGGGTTCTGTTGTCCCAACAGCTTTTGCAACTTTAGCAGAGCGTGTTGTTACAATAACTCTACTCCCACTTGAACCACAGCCAAGCAAACTAAAAAGATCAAACCAATGATCCCGACTCTCATCCCATATGTCATCTAAGACAAGCAGATACTTCTTATCTTTAATTGATTCTAGTATGCTTGACTTAATTTGATCCACTGAGAGTTGACTACTATCCTTACAATTACTCAAGGACCGGTAAACTTTTTCTAATACTCGGTTCTGGTTATTTACCTCAGGTACACAGACCCATGCAGTAAAATTAAAATGTTTACGAACCCCCTCATCATTATAAACTAGCTGAGCAAGAGTGGTTTTCCCAAGACCCCCAAGCCCCACAATTGGAATTACAGTAATCCTTTTCCCATCATTATTAGGATCAAAAAGCATCCCAATAATAATGTTTTTATCAGTTTCCCTACCAATGACATCTTCAGTTTTCACAAAAGAGGCTGTATCCCTATTCCTAAGGATTCGGTCCCCTATGGATAGTGGTTCATCTCTATGATCAGGATAGGGATTCAATCCTAAGCCAGCAATGTCTGAACTAATTTCATCTAGTTGTTGTCGAATAGACTTGATTTCACGAGATATTTTCCAGTTAAAATAAAGAGTGCCAGACCTCGAGAAAGTAAGACAAACCTGCTTGCGCTTGTTAACCTCCATCAGCTGTTTCTGGCGGTCAACAGTGAGGACTTCATCAAACAAGTCATCAGCTTGGTAAAGCACCATCCTCAGCCTTCGAAGCCACTCTTTGATGGTATCGTTTCCATGCTCTTCCTGGTGCCTCTCAGCATCTCGAACTCGAGCTTGGATCATCTTAATGGTTTTCTCAAGCTTCTTCAGATCATCTCGTGCACCCCACCAGGAAACAGCCTCTTTAAAGGCTGGTTCAGCCAAGTAACTCAAGGCTTTTCCAGCTAAGTCATAAAGAACTCCCTCTGCCATTCTCTCTCTCTCTTTTTTTATTTTATTTTTATTTTCTCTGCCTTATGTGAATTGTAATTCTTGTAAATGATAATGAATGAATTCTGAACATAGCTTTCACCTATATATATATATATATATATATATATATATATATATATATATATATATATATATGTAAAAGTTGTGAATCACACTATTAACCAATAACGAAGAATAATCTCTTTTTTACACTTGGAATAAACAATTAGAGTAACGAACAATCATTTATGTTGATGTTGATTTATGCGCAAGGAAAAATATTACTTCACAAGTATTACTAAAGGAACGAATGTTTAGATATGGGAATAACATTTCTCTAAAGGTATTATCTAAAGAGTACTCTGTATTTTGATTCTATGTTGAGTCATTCGATATCCTCCGATAAATTTTTTTCATCGTAATTTACATGTCTTTTGAAAATGTCTATTGAATCATTTTTTTTTTTTTTTTTTTTTTTTGAAACAACATATTTTTAAAATTATGATAATAAGACATTTTGAATCATTTCTTTTAGGGATGTATTTTTATTACAACAATATGTCTCGTTCTTTATCACTTGTAAAAATAAAAATACTTCGTAAATAGAAATAATCACATTCGGCATTCACATGTAAATTATTTTTCATACTTTACCAATCAAGCAAACAAATTGGGACGGGTAAAGTAATACAAAAGGAGAGAATATATAAAATATAGAATGTCTTTTCCGGAATTAATCGCAAATATGCGTACCTTGATTCAGTAATGCTGTAAATTTTCAGTCGACATTTCCTCAAACACCTTGCGTGCATTCCTTTGAATACTTTGATGTTGGGGATTGAATATTCTTTTTTTGCTGCCCTTCATTTCTCCTTTTGTGCATCTTGCAACACAATTCTATAATGTAGCAAAATGATGGTAGTAACGAATCATAAAAGGTTAAAAGTTATGGATGGCTTGGAGAATAAAGTAAGGGGAAACAAGTAACATCCAACTATGAAAATCTAACTTGTATTTACTCTATACTTCTGTAATACAATTAAGATATATCAAATATTATGTTACTGAGTATAATAAAATAAAATCGATTGCTAACTTCATATAGTGATTCCAAATAGGCAAGATATTGTCCGGCTCCAAAAACTAGAGCGCGTACATTTGTAATAAATGGTTTATATATAAGAAAATTTAATACAATATGTAAATTCCTTAAAATAAAGATACATTTTGTTGATATGAATAGTACTCCTATCAAATCCTTTTTTAAGTAAAACTGAGATATTGTATGCAGATCTAAAGTAGTCAATGTATAGTCTTAAAAAACGAAGTACCTTTTATAAACTTTTTCTTATTAATAATTAACATTTGAATCATGAATTAGTTAACATGCTCAAAGTGAAATGTATCGCCTAAGATAATTAGATAAACAAAGAGTGTATTCTTTTACTTAACATTCAAAGGTTTGAACTATTTCACCCAATGTTTCTTAGGTTAGAACTATATACATTTTCACTCAATGCCTATTGGGTTTAAATTGTACGAACACAGTATGTTTTTATCCTGTGTGTTTTTGGGTTAGAACGGCACATTCTTTCAGATAGTGAGGTGTGCGTATTATTGTTGATGACCATTTTAAATACTTTGTAAGTGTTTAAATGAACAATGTCCAATCGGGTGCATAAACTAAACATTATCTAAAAGTTACCCTTTTATAAAAAATATACTACGCACCTTCACATAATCACACCTTTACTGTCTGTAGGTAGACTCAAAGATGCAAGATTTGGACGAAACAAAAGCAAGTCAAAACTCATTCTTACCCATTAAAATAACTTATACAGAAGCACAGATAATACAACAGTCAAAATAGTTTTACATTGTCAAGAAGGAACGCCATTAGAACTTTGGGAAAGTACAATGGCCCTCAGTTTATTATAAGCATCATAACAGGCGTGAGCATATTCTGACAAAGCTCTAAACAGCTCAGGCAACCGTGTTTTAAGAGTTCCAAGTGACTTCTCTCTAACTTGAACACAATGCCTCTGATGTTTTTCCTGCTCTTCCTCTAATCTCTTTCTTAAGGTCTCTACTAAAAACTGTCTTTCTGATACCGGATCTTTGCCAGGCCCGTCTTCACCTCTCTCAGGGTCCATTGCTTCAGGACCCTTTCGCTGCATGTGTTTATGATACCAATCCTCAAAAGCCTGATTCTTTCTTAAGAACTCCTTCCTCGTCTCTTCACATTTTTCCTTCAGCCTCATCTCCTCCTCTTGGTGCAATATGATGGTCTTTATCACAGCACTAAAGGATGAGATGGCGGTTCTGGTGACCTCATCGGGGAGCTTTTCTAGTGAATCGTGCCATGCATGGAGGAGGGTTTGAATTGGGGGGTGGTGGGCTCGGGGTGGGGAAGAAACCTTTTCCTTGAGGTTGCTTTCAATGGGGATGAGGTTTAGCTTCAACCAACTGTTGAGTGATCGAACATAGTGTTTCTGCTGTTCTACTAGAGTCTCAAATCGTTCTTGCCATTGTTGAATGACATTGGAGAGTTGGATGGTGCACTGATAGTGGAGCTTGCTAGTTTCCCGGGGAGCAAGCAAGACATCGAGAGATTTTAGTTCTGTAGAAACCTGCAGCTGGCTATCATGGTGTACAGAGATATCCTCCCACATCTGAGCCATTCTGCATTGATCATCACCAGAAGTCCGGCAGATTAGCTAATGATGATTAACACTGTAATTTGAAAATTAGATACCAGAAACTATATCTTGGGAATAAGGTTTTAATCATTTGTTTGTTGATCTTGCCCACGTGTTAAAGAAAAATGAATTGAAACGATTACAAGGTAATATAACACAATGGACTGGAGGTGAAGCACCAAACTCTTGTATATAACGCAAAATTCGAGTGGGAAAATAATTAAGAGATTTTCTCCAGATACTCTGAAGTCTGAAAGTGCAAGACATCTATGATCAACTTGAGGTGGACTCTTAAAATAGTTAAAATTGACAAGGGTGAAAAAATTGGTTTCCACTTCTAACGACATACTCAACTATACCTTTAAAGGGTTACTAGGGTAGTAACATATCAAATGTTTAATAATTGGCATTTGGCAGCCCAACAAAATCCAGAAATTCAAAACACCACATGGCAAATCTTGGCCAATTCAAACCTTATATGTACTGGTTCTCTTCTTTTAATGGTGTGCTCTCTCTTATCACTCATACAAACAAGCAAGGATAATAGTTTTCTAAAAGGAATCTGAGGTTGATCGCTGTATTGAGAGAACTAGTCGATGTAAGATCTCTAAAGGCTAAAATCCAATCAAACATCTCAATGTTGTCATTAATCTCAACAGGAAAGAAGCAAATTCATTGACCAAGCAACATAGGTGGCAACCTCAGATAGTGTATGAAAGATCTATGGTAAAAAGAATGCTAGGAAAAAAATATATACCTGTCAACTAACTCAACAAGTTTTGGGTACAACTGCTGATCTCGCAAATCATTTACTTCTGATACAGTTGAGTCCATGGACTGCATGTCAACAATGTATCGAGTGTGCAAATGACTAACGGCTGCTTTTGTTTTCTCCAATGAATCTGCAGTAGCACCACGTTTTTTCTGTCTATTAAGAACTGAAACCTTTCTCTGATACTCCAGCTTCATCAGCTCACCAGCCTAACAGGTAAAAGCAAGCAAAAACCATCATGATCTCAGAAGTATCACGATATCATACTAATAAAATTATACTGTACTCCTGTGGCTTAAGAGTGAAACACAAAAATGTTACACTAAACACAGGTGACAGGTGTGTCAGATTAAACCCTTGTTAACTTATGCTTTTGTTAATAATATTAAACTTCAAAATAGCACATTTTTCTTCCATACCAGAAGGGAGCTCATAATTATAGTAGTTAATCCCCCAGATAGTAACAAGTTTCAACTTCAAAATTTCCAAAGGTACAAGGCTACAAAGCAGCAAGTTGCATCAAAGGCTTAACACCATGATTCTGTAACTAATTTGTTTGAAAGTCTCTTTTATTTCACACATTATACCAATATGCCAAATACAGCATGAGATTTAATCAGAGTTTTCACATGGATATTAGCAACTGGCTTTCATGCCAAGATTCTGTGTGGACCCCACTTTGATTAGAATTGGTTGGGTTCACTTTTATGTAATATTCACCACCACACATGTAGATATGACTCATATGAGATATCAATTATCTTGACATTAGAAATGTACCTTAACTTCTTCATATAGCTTTTTCTCCCATGCCAGCAGTTTATCCAAGACAGTGGCAAGTGACTCACTGTCATCGGGGTCAGTTTTCCCCCCATCAGGAACGCCCTTTGATGACCACGTAATGACACGCATAACTCTGGCGGCATGATCAACAGGCACTGGAAATAGATTTTTTTTTAAAAAAAAAAAATAAAAAAAAAATTAGCTTATACATAGTACATTCATCCAAAACAAAGAGCTAGATCAATTCAATGTAGGTGACTACATACAACTATAATGCAAAACAGCTCCAAACAACACAGTTTATGTTGTTGGCTTTCAGCTTTCAGGGATAGTTGATGTATATTTCCCATTAGTAGTAGCAGACTAGCAGCTAGATTTGAGTATAATACATATTGACTTGCAAGCAAACTCAAACATTATTATATAAAGGGATTTAACAGCGATTAAGTAATAAAGTTGGTCATTTGCCAACTCCTATTAGCATTACCAGTTACCACAGAAAAACAACAGAGAGAACTAAAAGGACCAATCATCAAAGCAATCTCGGTGTGGCTGAAAAATGACCTAAACAAGGATTCTCCGAGGGTACGACAATTTTCGGAAACAATGTAAATGAAAGAATAGGAATTGATAATGATGTCAATCCTCGTGACCAGTACCACATCCTCATTTACCACTTAAATGTAGCTCACATATGCTAGCAGAGATACAAGAAATGCATTGAAAAATAGATGAGGTATCAGCAAGAATATTCTGAATATGTATAGAAGGAAGACCTTGACTAACATGAACTTCATCATAACCTGGATATTTTTTACC